AGCTAAATGACTGCATTTTAAGCATCTCTTCTGATTGTAGACTCCAAAGGAAACTTGCATTAATCTCGTGATATCTGAATAATATTTAGTATTACAATATCTATACACTTTTTTTTCTTTCCTGAAATATCTATAAATTTGTTGGCGGACTCTGTATATGTATGTGAACGTGTGTCAAATGTTATCTCCTCTTAAATTCGCTTCTTCTAAATCATTCGTTGCTTGCCATCAGTTAAATTTCTCTTCTTTAACTGCTCTGTTAAGATTTCATATTATTAAAAGAAACATCGAGAAATGACTTGGCAACATATTGTCGATTTCTAAATGACGCCATTAATTTTTTTTTCTTTTCTATGTAGGTTAATTTCCATTTGCTTGGTTTCATCTGTGAAGGGAGAATCTCTCGTCCAGTTTAGTTGCGTTATGATAAATAAACATTTGGAATTGAAAGATTTACCCAGGGGCACACTATCTCGATAAGAAATCGGTGATTGTGTTTCAAAGAAACGTCACCGACACCGGAGACAAGCACCTGTCTCCGCCCCAATCACCGCCAATGTATTTTTTCTGGCTTTGCGTAAATCGGTCCGTATGAATACGCCACAAATCTCTGTGGAATAAACCTCTTAATATCCTCCTTGATTTGGCAGGATCAAATTAGAGAGACATGCAAGCTGAGAAGATTGCGTTGTACCAAAAGTGGATGGAATTGCCTTCTCTTTAATATTAACTTCTTAAATTTAACTCATGTTTTAGCAATGACAACAACAGCCTATTTGCAAATTACAAACAAGTATATTACTTGGGAAATATAACGGAATTATTTATTGATGGAATAGCACTTCTGCCTAAAAAACAGAACATAGTATCAGGATATGGTTTGAAAATGGAAGATACTTGTATAGAAGTTTGTAGTTTGTAAGATGTAAGATAAAAATGTTTGAGTTCAACAACTCACTAAAATTTTACCAAATGACCAAATATTTGTTTTTTAAAAAATCATCTCTTATTCAGGAAGAGAGATTTTCAGCATCCTCTCTCTCTCTCTCTCTCTCTATATATATATATATATATATATATATATATATATATATATATATATGAATATAGTGAACATAGAAGTTAACATTTAGAGGCGACAGTGTTTCATGCTAGATGCAATCCTCAGGCCAAAATGCACTCGTGGCCTGAGGATTGCATCTAGCATAAAACAGACTGTCGCCTCTAAGTGTTGAGTTCTATGTTCACTTCTATATTTACACACGCTCTGTCTCTGATATTGAGCACTTTATCCCATAAATATAGCACATCTTAAGACTATACATATTTCTTCATATATATATATATATATATATATATATATAATACCAAAAGTCTGTTAATATGTGCGTGCTTATGTGGTGCGTCCGTCCGTTGTATAATGTTTTACGAGTTGTTTATACAGTAAGTAACTTCATTTTAACTTTCTTCAAACAGAAGATTTTTTTAATTAAAATATTTTAATGACAGTCACAAAGGGATCCTTCTTTGCTGTTTCGTCCAGTTGTTTGTAGAGTGAATATTTATACTTTAGCTTTCTTTAAAGAAACAATATTTTAAATATTTAAACAAATATTTTTAATTTTAACTTTCTTCATATAAACAATTTTTTTATTAAAATCTTTTAAAGTTAAAGACAGACACAAAAAGATCCCAATTTGCCGTTTTGTCCAGTTTTTTGTAGAGAAGTTATTTATATTTCAGCTTTCTTTAAGCATGCAATATGTTAAATATTTTTTTAAAAATTTATACATATTTAAAAATACTTTAAAGTGAATATGATTTACAAATATTTTTTGTCATATTAACAATTATTTTTAATTTAATCTGATTTCAAGTTCAAGTTTATCCCCGACGTTTTATTTCTATTAAATGATGTAAACGGTCAGTAAAACTTTAAACATAAACTTGCAAACAAGACCAATAATGTCACGATCGAATTGAAATATTTAACTAAATCATAATAAAATTAACATTCATTTTAATAGAATGTTGAAACCTACTTCAATATTTTATAAACTGGACGGTCAGTGAACCCAAAGCGTCACGGGTAGTCTATTAATAAAAATAAATACAAGTAAAAGGTTTGTTACTTAGCTAATTGCTGTTACCTTCAGCATCCCGACTACAGAGCTTCGTAGACGGACCCCCTGAAATTACTCCGTCCACTCATGAGGTGGTATCAGCAATATTTTTTTTATTGCACTTTCAAATTTTTAAACATTTAAACCTTTAAAAGAATCCTTTTATTTTTTTCTGTATTTTTTCTCTGTTTCTCCAAAGAACAAAGTTCAATTCGCTTCATTCAAGGTTCCTCGGAAATGTACCATTTTATCTTGTCCAGTATAGATGATGTTTCAATGTTTGTGCCTGGTTAGTTGACTTCGCTATATGTTATGAAATAACTGCTGAGCATATGGAGAATGAGACGGAGATATCGTCGATGAAATCATTCAATGAC